GCCATCAGGAGCAAATTATTATCCGATGCCGTTATTATTCCCTCCTGCGACTATCGTTTTAGCTCCATCATTGCAACTACAGCACGCACGGCCACGTTGTTATGCTGATTCGACTAAAAACGAAACTAGGGCAGTAGATTAAAGGAGCCCGACGCGCAATACACAAAGGCAAGGCAGGTGACTGCCGTCAGTTGGCGTTGGATTTTCAGGGCAGTACGGCAATTGATAGGGCACCGACGCAATTGCCGTCGGTGCCGTCGCGTTAATTCGAGCCCTGGCCTGCGCGGTGCGTGCGTGCCGGTGTGCCTGCAGGCGTGCTTGCGTGTGTGCCTGCGCGCCGTGCGTGCCTCGCGCGGTGCGTGGTGCCTGGTGTGCGGCTGTGCTGCGGGCGTGCTTGCGTGTGTGCCTGCGCGCGTGCCTGCGCGCGTGCGCTGCTGCATGCGTGCGTGCGTTGTGTGCGGGCTGTGCCTGCGGGCGTTGCCTACGTAGACCCGTAGGACCAACCGACCCGTAGGATTAAGAACGGTAATCCATGAAAATCCTAATGAAATTCACACGTATATTTTTCCCCTGCCGGGCACACTCGTGTGTCATTCCAGATTGTAGCTTTTTTGTCATTCCCCGAAAGAGTTTTGCTGCCGCTCTCTCATAGTCGCAATGCCAACCCTCTAAATTTTAGTAGTGATTAGTAACCACGCTGAAACAATCGTGGCCCCCCATACTTCAATCAATGCCGCCCCTGCCAGCAGGCCGTTACGCAGCTCGATGTGCACAGCCATTCACACGTGCTCGCGGGCCGCTTTCTCCAAACCCCTGAGCTTCCAGGGCCTTACGCGGGCCTTGGACCCCCGCCGCCCAGAGACTTCGCGTATAAACAATCGATCCTCCTAGCTCGCTCACAGGCGACATTCCCTGTTTTGGGCTAGCCGTAATAGTTCTGTGTTTAGCTGACACCTGTGATGTATTCACTATTCAAGGTGCATTTGTGGTTGTGACTTGTGAGTTGTTGATTATCATGTTAGTCTGTCAGGTCTTGATGAATAACTGTCTTGAAATATGACTGTTGTGTCTGTTGTGTGTCTGTGTTGTGTGTGTGTGGGTGTGTTGGGTGTGTGCGTGCGATGGCGTGCGTGCGTGCGTGCGTGTGTGCGTGCGTGCGTGTGACGTGTGTGTGGTGTGTGCGCGCCCCCACGAGTGTGTATTAGCTACTGTGCTTGTTGTACATTTGGTGGAAACAGCCCTGGAAAAAGTCGCCCTGGAAAGTGAAAAAAGCCCTGGAAAATGAAAAAGTAGCCGCCGAAATTTGGGGGGGTTTGCAAAAGCCCCGGAAAGAAAAAAATTAATTTTTTCACTGACGTACTACATGTATACGGCTATACTACGTTGCGTCTGACTGACTGAATGATAGAGCTATAAAATGTCGTGCCACACGTGCACGTATTCACACACACACACATACACACACACACACACACACACACACACACACACACACGACACACACAGCACACACACACACGCACACACACACACACGCACGCACACACACACACACACACACCACACCACACACACACGCACAGCCGCAACGCACACACACCACACACACCACACACACACACACACACACACACCACACAGCACAACACACACGCACACACACACACACACACACAACACACAGCACACCACACACAACACACACACACACACACACACACTTCGCTAACTAGGTTCACGCTGCGGCGTCGATGTATGTAAGCTTATGTAGATGACAGGTGACTTAATATATTGAGTGGCTTATGTAGATGACAGTGACATAATAAAGTGTGTGTGTGTGCGTGCGTGTCGTGTGTGTGTGTGTGTGTGTGTGTGCTGTGTGTGTGTGTGTGTGTGTGTGTTGCGTGCGTTATTGAGTGGCTTGTGTAGTTGACAGTGACATATATATATTGAGTGGTTGTGTAGATGACAGGTGACATAATATATTGAGTGGCTGTGTAGATGACAGGTGACATAATATATTGAGTGGCTTGTGTAGATGACAGTGACATAATTATTGAGTGGCTTGTGTAGATGACAGGTGACATAATATATTGAGTGGCTTTGTAGATGACAGGTGACATAATATATTGAGTGGCTCTTGTGTGTTGACAGTGACATAATAATATTGAGTGGCTTATGTAGATGACAGGTGACATAATATGAGTGGCTTGCGTAGTTGACAGGTGACAGTATATATTGAGTGGCTTGCCGTGTGACAGGTGACATAATATTATGAGTGGCCTTGTGTATTGACAGGTGACATAATTTATTGAGTGGCTTGTGATAGATGACAGGTGACATAATATATTGAGTGGCTTGGTGTATGATGACAAGGTGACATAATATAGTGAGGCTTGTGTAGTTGACAAGGTGACATAATATATTGAGTGGCTTGTGTAGTTGACAGGTGAATAATATATTGAGTGGCTTGTGTAAATGCAGGAGGACATAATATATGAGTGGCGTTGCGTAGTTGACAGGTGACATAATATATGAGTGGCTTGTGTAGATGACAGGTGACATAATATATGAGTGGCTTGCGTAGTTGACAGGTGACATAATATATTGAGTGGCTTGTGTAGAGACACGGTGACATAATATATTGAGTGGCCTGCTTTGTAGTTGACAGTGACTAGATATATTATGGCTCTGTGTGTTGACAGGTGACATATATATTGAGTGGCTTGTGTAGTTGACAGGTTGACAGTAATATATTGGAGTAGCTTGCTGTAGTGTGACAGTGACATAATTATTGAGTGCTTGTGTAGTTGACAGGTGCATAATTATTTGAGTGCTTGTGTAGACTGACAGGTGACATAAATATTGAGTGGCTTGCGTAGTTGACAGGTGACATAATATATTGAGTGGCTTGTGTGGATCACAGGTGACATAATATATTGAGTGGCTTGTGTGGATCAACAGGTGGACATAATATATGATGCTTGTGTAGGTGAACAGGTGACATAATATATTGAAGTGGATGTGTAGTTGACAGGTGAATAATAGAGTGAGTGGCTTGTGTAGTTGACAGGTGACATAATATATTGAGTGTGCTTGTGTAGCTTTGACAGGCCTGACTTTAATTATGAGTGGTCTTGTGTAGATGACAGGTGACATAATATTATTTGGAGTGCTTGTGTAGTGACAGGTGACATATATATTGAGTGGTTGTACGTAGTTTGACAGGTGACATAATATATGAGTGGCTTTGTGTGGAGCACAGGTGCAAATAATATATTGAGTGGCTTGTGTGGATCACAGCGTGACATAATATTTAGTGGCTTGTGTAGTGACAGGTGACATAATATATGAGCTGGCGTTGTGTTAGTTGCAGTGACATAATATATTGAGTGGCTTGTGTAGATGACAGTGACATAATTATTGGAGTGGCTTGGTGTAAGTTGCACAGGTTGACATAATATATTGAGTGGGCTTGTGTAGAATGACAGGCTGACATTAATATATTGAGTGGCTGTGTAGTTGACAGGCTGACATAATATATTGAGTGGCTTGTGTACGATGGGACAGGTGACTAACAATATTGAGTGGCTTGTGTAGATGACAGGTGACATATATATTGATGGCTTGATGTTAGATGACAGGTGACTATATATTGAGTGGCTTGTTGTGGTGACGTGACTATAATATATTGAGTGGTTGTGGTCAGTTGACAGGTTGACATAATTAGATATGCAGTGGCTTGTGTAGTTGACAGGTGACATTAATATATTGAGTGCTGTGTAGTTGACAGGTGACAATTAATATGTGAGTTGGCTTATGTGTAGATGACCGGTGACATAATATATAGTGGCTTGATGTAGTTGGACAGGTCGTGACATAATATATTGAGTGGCTTGTGTAGTGACAGGTGACATAAATATATTGAGTGGCTTGTGTAAGATGACAGTGGACATATATATTGAGCTGGCCTTGTGTGGAGATGACAGGTGACATAATATATTGAGTGGCTTGTGTAGTTGACAGGGCTGAATAATAAGATTGAGGTGGCTTATGTAGATGACAGGTGCATAATATATTGAGTCGGCTTTGTAGATGACCAGGTGTGACATAATATATTGAGTGGCCTTGTGTTAGGATGACAGGTGACATAATAGTTGAGTGGCTTGTGTATGATGCACCAGGTGACATAATATATTGAGTGGCTTGTTGTAGATGACAGGTTGACATAATATATTTGGAGTGTTTTAGATGCAGGTGACATAACTATATGAGTTGGCTTGTGTAGTTGACAGAGTGACATAATAGATTGAGTGGCTTGTGTACGATGACATGGTGACATAATATTTTGAGTGGTTATGAATAGTTGACAGGCGTGCATAATATTATGAGTTGGCTTATGTCAGATGACACGGCTGACTATATATTTGAGTGGGCTTATGCTAGGATGCAGGTGACATAATATATTGATGTGGTTGTGTAGGATGAAGGTGCAAATATATTCGAGTGGGTTGTGTTAGATGACAGGTGACATTAATATATTGAGTGGCTTGTGTAATCGTTGACAGGTGACATAATATAATTGCGTGCTCTTCTACGTGTATATGACGCAGTTCTACACTACTCTATAGACCCAGGAAACCTGTGCGTCTATCTTGACTGCATAGACACACACATATTCATCTGGTCTACACACAACTCAAACACTACATTATAATAATGTATCTTCACAACACCAGTTGCAGGGTGCGAAATTAGACGGGAGTCCGCGGAGTCAAATACTCCCTATTTTACTTGTCGGACTCCCTGATTGACAGTGTGCAGGGTCCGTTTGATCCTGAAAATCATGCCATTCTAACTAGTTCGTTCCAGAGCACGGCTCGCGGAATTCCTGGTATTTTTTCAATAAAGTCAAAGAACATTTGGCACCAAGGACGGTGCAACCATGAATCTTAAAAATAAGCACATGGGTTTATGTTAATATCTTTAATTTTTGAAACTCAGACTGCTCGGACCTCCTCATTTTGCTGGCGCGACTCCTCTTCTATTTGAGGGGTAGGGAGGTCCGTTGGACTCCCTGTGTTCAAAAGTATAATTTCTACCCTGCCACACGCCAAGCGCATACCGCACTGCCACGCTACGCATCGCACGCACGCACGACACGACGCACGCACCGCGCGCAACACACACACACATTTATGATACCTTGGTCGCATTATGGGGAACAGAAAATTGTCCGAGAGAAGAAGAAAATATAGAGACTGTTTCTGTCTTGCTAATGTATTATTGATTTGTACTCTAGGTTTGCACTTGCCGAAGCAGACACAGGATCAGGTGAAGGAGGTCAAGAAGAGAATGAGTGACCTGTGTATTGATTTCAGTAAAAACCTAACTGAGGAAAACTCCATTCTAGAGTTCACCCAGGAAGAGTTGGGTATGCTCAATTGCACATCTATATCTTTTAGTTATTTTTATATTAAATATCAGAAAGTTTCTCATAGAGATTTTAATTAGATAATGAAGCAACCCAGTACACTTACTCATAATTATACCATTGTGACATTTTCATTTCATAGGGGGCTTGCCAGAAGATTTTGTTACTGCTCTGGACAAAGGCGAGTCCGGAAAGTTCAAAGTCACGCTTAAGTACCCACATTACTTTCCCATTATGCGCAAGTGTCATGTTCCTCAGACTAGGAAAGCGATGGAACATGCGTTCAGCAGCAGGTAGTGATGAATCAATCTGTCAAGAATTTAACCCAAGAATAATAAGTAATGGGTTCCAAGATGCATTGTAGGATAAGGTATCCTCTCTCTAGTGTAAACTTATTTTTGTTGCGTTGCTGGTTATGCTGTCATCTTTTTTTTCATGATAATTATCATTATATGCTCTTTGCTATAGTGTCATTTTCATTCTATACATGTCTAAGCCACGGTTTTTTCTTTCCAGATGTAATGAAGAAAACACTCCTATTTTAGAAGAACTAATACAGCTCAGACAGAAGGTGTGATGCTACTCCTTATTTACATTTCAGCAGTTAATTTCTATAGTATTGCATTTACTCTAATGTACATAAAATAGTGCTGTGTGCTGCTAATACACAGGAATATGTGTTTACATGCAGGTTGCTGACCTTCTTGGCTATCCGACACATGCTGCATACGTGCTGGAAATGCGCATGGCAAAAGACACTGACACTGTCACAAAGTTCCTTTCGGAACTGTCACTCAAGTTGCAAGACCTCAAAGAAGCTGAGATGAAAGAGATGCTCACGTTCAAAGAGGAGGAGGTATATATGAACGCATGTGTTCTACCGATGCACGACTAGGCTGGAAAAAAACACTGCCATCTAGTGGTGATAACATTACAATTAATGATAGGTTAATCATCAAACGAATATCAATGTTTTTGCTGCTCCAAGTGTGTCTACTCTAGCTTGACAAGTTTTCGAAATTCTGTGCCTTTGATCTGTTGGTTGCTGTAAACCATGTAATAATTTATTGTACCGATCTTGGCATTACTTAAAATTTGGAATCTTTTCTAGAGATTGTCGAAGCTCCTTCTAAAACCTCATTTTTATTTCACAGTGCAAGAAACATGGCTACGAGTTTGATAACCGCATCAATCCTTACGACTTTCGCTATTACATGACAGTGGTAGAGGAGCGTAGGTACGCTGTTGACCAGAACAAGCTGAAAGAGTACTTCCCACTGCACGTCGTCACCAAGGGGCTGCTAGATATATATCAGGTGAGTCATTGTCATGGCACGACGATACCGCCGACCTTTACTTATTTAAAACTGTTTTATGGACATTCTGTTTGCAGTTAATGGTGGTAGTGTGATATTAATAGCATGCATAGAAGGTATTTCCTGGCCTTGAAGTATGTTTGTTTTGTTTTTATAGTGGTGAAATGTGATGTCAATCCTTGCTCACCTATGAAACAATGTCTAGACATTCATTTCCCCATCTTTTTCAGGATCTGCTGAATTTGAAGTTTGAGAAGGTTGAGGCACCACATGTATGGCATGAAGACGTGACAATGGTATGCTTCTACCTACACTTTCCCTCACCCACTCAGACTACTTAATGAAGAATTTTTTTCTAGAGAAGTGGTGAATGAGACAATAAAGCTTTGTAGATGTATCCAGGATTGTGCCATGGGTTCGAATGATTCGCGCGTCTGTTGTTCATTGCTACTGTGCGTCAACATTAAGTGATGCTGAGCACCTTTTTCTAATGCATTTAAGTCTTCTTCTGGTTAATTGGTAAGTAATACTATAATTGAGTGCTACTGCTACACTACTGATCATAAGAAATCTTTCTGATCTCAAGAAGAGTGTTCCATATATATACTAGGTTACGATAACTGGATTTTTCATCACATATTCTAGTACAGTGTACTGGATTCAAAGTTAGGGGACAAGCTAGGATACTTCTACCTGGACTTGCATCCACGAGAGGGAAAGTATGGACATGCTGCTTGTTTTGGGCTTCAGGTAAATGAGTGCAGATGAAGCCATATTATAGCTATACTTTAAATTTTTCAGGTGTAATCTTTACCTTCACCTCTGGCTGCGTCCTGATAAAATGTATCACATATTTCACGTTTAAACAATACTACTCCACCCGTCGCCATTGTTAATGTAATTTGGGGTGTTGATTATGCTACATGCCATTTTATATTGTTCCTATTGATCATAACATGATCAGTAAGAAATTACTACATATAAATTTGTTGGTGGTTGTACATAACACCATTTTTGTTTAGCTTAGTAAACATAAATTGGGAAATTTGCAAGTTGGGATTCATAATAAATCTCATTGAATAACGAACCTTGGCAACACGGATAAACCCGAAAATTATGCAGATTGTGCCATTATGTGTTGCCCTATTTGGGTATTTTATGTAACACATCTACATACATATGCTCTTGGTTTGATATCTTGCAGCCAGGCTGCCAGAATTCTGATGGCTCAAGGCAGATAGCCATTGCTGCTATGGTGGCCAACTTCACAAAACCAACAAAGGAAAAACCTTCCCTGCTCACACACGATGAGGTAAACGTCGTAACAACTTCCATCGGGTTTTATCCATTTTAGCAATTCTAGCATCTATAGGCATGTTGCAGATCAAAAGTAAGCAGATTTTAATCATGTTGGCTTCTTTCATATTTCTCTTTTTCCTTTGCTCTCACTCTGTCTGTATGTCTCTCTGTCGCTGTCGCTCATTCTTTCTCACCCTCTCCCTCTCTCTCCCTTTCCCCTCCCTCCCTCCCTACTTGACTTCCTTCTTTTCCCGTTGCCCTTTCCCCTCCCTCACTCTCCCTACCTCACTTCATTCTCTCTCTCTCTCTCTCTCTCTCTCTCTCTCTCTCTCTCTCTCTACTCGTCGTCTCTGCTCTTTACTCTTATACAAATTGTATAGATTAACTAGGCACACTGCTCCCGATGAGTTTTGCTTGTTGTGCGTCAATGTGTCCGATGATACCCGTACACGGGAACAGATCTTCTCATTTCGACACGCTGCCTGCTGCAGGTCGAAACCTACTTCCACGAGTTTGGTCACGTGATGCACCAGATCTGCGCCAAGGCCGACTATGCTCACTTCAGCGGAACGCACGTGGAGCGCGATTTTGTCGAGGCGCCGTCGCAGATGCTCGAGAATTGGGTGTGGGAGAAGGAACCTCTCGTTCGCATGTCGGGCCACTATGAGGTGAGAGGAGAAGTGGATCCGCGTGGATACTGTGGGAACCGACACGTTTTAGGCTTTACTTTGCCTGCACTAGGTGAGGGGAAGATGTGTGGAGATTGGTGTGAAGGCTTTGTTTTACTTCTACCAGCAAAAGGGGAGTAAGTGGAGGATGTTTAAGTAACCACACGTGATGCGTGCCTCAGGTTAAGTGGACAGCACCTGGTCAGAAGGAGCATGCATTGTAAGAGTAGGTGGTATTCACAAAGGTGAGGCATTGAAATTTTAACAGAAACGTATGCTGCTAGATGAGGGATTGTTATTACATTCTAGTTGTAGATTGAGAATGTGCATTCACAGTAAATCGTCTTGTAAATCAGGGATGCCTTGCACAACCTTAAAGGGACTATGTCACGAATTTTCTATGGTAAAATTTGTAAAAAAAATTGCCATTTTTTTACATTAAAAGTAAGAACTAACGGGACTAAACAAATCGTCAAATTCTTATCTGATAAGATTGTTTCTCAACTAGTTAAAAATCCAAAAAACCTGGACGATTTGAATTAATGTTCTCAACATTAATTGCTTGCTATGGGCTATGTATGGGTCACAAGTGTATGTTCACATCGAACAATATAGTAATATAGGAAGTATAATGCAGCAATTTAACCATAAAATGTGAACAGAATTCAGCTGGAATTACTTATATTTTGTGGAAAAGTGGAAATATTATTTTTATTTTTACTATTTACGGTGACGTAATCACTTTAATTAATCCACTAATTACAGACTAATGAGCCACTGCCAGATGCACTGATGGATACGCTTATCAAATCCCGGACTGCCAACACTGGTTGTTTCAACCTCAGGCAGATCCTTCTGGCAACCTTTGATCAGACCATACATAAGCAGGCACAGGTATGCGTAGTACACTCATTAATTGTTCCAGCATGTTATGTGGCCAGTATTCATGTTAGTTCCACCTAATGTCTGGGCAGAGCGAAATAGGTATAAACACAGCTGGGCTACAATGATGCAGTGATATTCATAGCAATGTATGCTTCAATATTCCATGTTTTGTAGTGTGCTTGAATGTGTCTTAAATGGCTACATCATTAGTATTATAATGATCAGGTCACTATCATTCAAATTGTAATTTTGATGTGGTCACTCGACAGGCAGACACGGCAGCTCTGTTCTCCCAGTTATCGGAGCAGATCTTAGGCATTCCAGCGACTCCCGGAACAAACATGCCAGCAAACTTTGGCCACCTGGCAGGCGGATACGATGCTCAATACTATGGCTACCTGGTTTGTGTTACTGCATTCTTTAGACTAGGCATACTCTACGCATTGCTATAATGGAAGATTGCCATGTTTAATATCAGCAGACGATCTATAGCTGTGTGACACCTCGTATACGCTAAGCAAGTCAATTTTACGTAGACCTTCATGACTTTTTTCAACCGCCTCGCTCATTTTTTCCAAGATTGATGCCATGCTGCAAATTCATGTTCCCCCCCAAAAAAATTGTCATCTGCCAATTAACCCTCTTAACCGTTCCTTCTCTTCCTCACCAATTGTGTCAGTGCCTTTGGCACTCACTTATTCAACCCTCCCACCTCGCTCATGATTTTATCCAGGGAAAACTCTACACTAACCTTAAATTACAGGAACCTATTAAAGAGGTGTTCTTGTACTGGTATGTCTTAGTAAATGTTATTATGTGTCACCTCAAGTCTGAAAATAATGACGACCTGCACTATTGCGATACAAGATATTGCATATCCAATTGGCATGGATTGGCATCATTCCGAATCTATGTAATATATGGCACGATATTTTGTAATTAGTTGTTCGGCATCATTGTGTTGGCTTTGAATTAGAATTTTCTCGGTGCAGAGTTTCTGGGTTGTCCTAGTTCGGGAAAAACAAATTTCTCACTATCACCGATTTTTATTTCAGTGGAGCGAGGTATTCTGCATGGACATGTTCTACACTCGCTTTAGGAAGGAGGGCATCATGAGTGCTGCAGTTGGCAAGGACTACAGGCAGACAATTCTAGAGCCTGGTGGCTCCATGGTGAGCCTGAATCTAACTTATTTTCGTTTCCAGTCATTTCCCATGTTAGGTTAAGTATTCACAGAGCATTGGTATCAGGAGTGCATATTCTGCATATTTTGTGCATTTTAATTTGCAACTTCCTGTTTATAATATTATTTGTGTGCTTCTTCTCACACAGGATGGGATGGATATGCTGAAAAACTTCCTTGGAAGAGAGCCAAACCAAGAAGCATTCCTCATTAGTAAGGGACTGGCACTCTAGATAACACTTGCTACCTTCAGTGGGATTTCCACACACTTAATTGGTACTAACACATGCTTAATTTTAGTATCGAATTTACCTATCAGCCTTTAACTACATCTAATGGACCTGGCCATGGACTGGCAGGACATCTAGAAAAAAGAGGTTGAAATCTCTGTTAATCAGAAAGTTAAAATTTTGTGTATTTTTATTAAAAGATTTCTATGTCTGTTTGCTATGAACAGACCGACCCTTGAGAATAATTGTACCAGAGAAAATATTGGTCGTTTTTCTGGCACCCCAACTCCAAAACTTAATTATGCATGTGCCTGTACTATTCAGTTACGAAGAAATGTTCACCTACCAACCAACCCTACAAAAGCCAATCGAGGTTAAGCAATTAGGTCAGGCATCAAAACAAGGATGTAGAATTCCATTGATAGATGTTAATTATTGTAAGGAAATTAATTGGGGGCTTCTGCTGTTCACCTAGAATAATAAATAACAATTAATTTACCAATTACTATGCAAACATCTTTGGTTGTGATACGAACTAGCACACCCCATGTTGAATGATTTAATTTGCTATCAATGCCATATAGTTCCGTGTTTGTTCAATGGCATTTTTTTTCTGTGAGTCAGGATGGTATGAATTGAATAATTAATTAATGTATTTTTTTAAAGTCAAATATGTTCTAAACCAACTTCAACGACATACAGATGATTATTTCAGTATTATATTTGCCTTCCTGTTATATATATTTTCTATTCAATTTCATGAAATGAGAGGGGCTTGATATATTACAAGACGAGAGACATAATTGGAAAATATTTTGGAAAAGTGAGTAAAACATGTAAAAGGAAAATTAGACCAGTTCGAATTCATCAGCACTGTGAACACTATGGTAATAGGGTATAGCACACACTTCCCATGTCCATGCAATGACACTACAGTTCTCGGACAACAGTACAACTGTGTAAATAACGATATATTCAGACAACAGAAGAAAGTTTTTGGTAACAGTCGATCACAAACTTAATGGGTTTATTTGCTATTAGAATATCACGTAACAATCCACCTCACTTGACCATGCTTACACTGATCGTGTTTTTTCCATGAGGGCAAGAAATTCTCAAGTTGAGGTCAAGATGTAAGCTCAGCGATTCTTGATAACATTTGACCTTTGAGCGCATAACAAATATCATGTAGGGTTCAGTAATATCCTGGTCAAACACCTCAGTAACATATCTAGCAGATTGCTATTGCAGAATTTACATTGTCTATGATCTATATCATAGGAAAACAAATGGATAAAACACTGCGGTCAGAAATGTTTCTACATGATTTTTACATTAAAAGCAGTTTCTGTAAATTACTTTTTGTAAAGCAGTCATTGTAAAATAAAATATATTATAATTTATATGCTATTGGACAAGTGTCCACCATATGGCTCCACCAATATATACTGCTTCCTGAAGAACCTGGGTTATAGCCCTACAGAAAAAAAATATTTTTTACCAAGATGTCAGATAGGATCATAGGACACTTGCACGGATAAGAACAAAATTCAAATTTAGTGAAGAAAGAGTGACTACCTTCTATGTACAAATCCCACTGAGTAATAATTTAATACTGAACTGCTCAGCAACGTGTAATAGGACATCTTATAAGGTGGTGATCATGCAGCCCTTTAAATAATTAAACTTCTCGATGACCGACACTAGAGATCGGCCACGAGACCAGCTGTGGCCAACTTACCGTGGGACTGCCTGCACTGTTTGAACGCTTCATTGAAGCCGTGGCACAAGGAGATGTCACTCTGCCCCTGCGTGCACTCCATGAACTGTTTCATCTCGAACGAGCATGGCTGGAACTCTGGCTGCTGCGGCTGTGCTGGTGCCGCCGGGGCAGCGGCAGCGGCTTCTGGCTGGGAGCTTCCTCCACCTCCAGTCATCGCAGCTCCTAGCAAGCGTAAAGATGGGGTGATACGGAGTTTTATTTGGAAGCGTTTGCTACTACCAGGGCTCGGACGTTCATGCAGAACACGTGCACAAACGGTTTCCCTGCGAAGCCTAAACTCGAGGAGCACTGGCACATACTCATTAAGCTGACAGCTACATACACCAACCTAATTTAATTGCCAGCATTTAAGAAAATGATTACAGACAGCTGCCTTGGACATTTAATAAAGTACCTATTTACAAAATATAATACCAAGAGCACACCTGTAGTATATATATACATGTTACCCTGTGTATGTTATATTCTGATACTTGACGGTATCCACTACAAGGGATATTCATGGTGACAAGATAGTGTGCTTTCCAGGAATGAATCCGAACAACAAACCAGTATATGTGTATGATAAATAATAAATAAATAATAACGAGTTAGGTGCAGCAATGTTCCTTCTAAAAGAGGCATGTAGGCGCCTGGGGGTAAAGCCGTGACTTGCATTAGTGTGATATATACATACTCCTATAATTATATGCCCTCATAGTTTATGTGCTCCTGATTAATAATAAGTGACACTAAAGTTAAGGTATTAGAGTTTGACAGAATTACGACCAACGCTCACCAATCGTGTGACCAATAGCAGAGCCTACGGCCACGCCAGCTGCCGTCGTCGCCATTTGTGCGAATAAACCTGGTTGCTGTGGCTGCGCCATTGCTGCTGGTGGAGGTTGTGCAGGCTGGCCTGGGGGAGCAGCTGGTCGCGTTGCTGGCACAGAGGACCTGTTCAACGACGAAACGACGCAAACATACTCTTAACATTGTACTCATGATCATTATTGTTGACGTTGCTACTGCAAGGCTGTTAATCATAGATCATATAATATTCAATGTAAACACGATGTCAGAGAGCGAATCTCTATATATAACTTTATGCCTATGCCTATGGAACTCAAACAATGGCAATTTTACGATGCCCATCATACACATAATGATTACAATGATATAATGAATATAATGATTGGATTAGGATCATGTTTTCATGCAATGCATAAAAGTTCATCTGTGTTTGTATCCAAACAATGCCAATATATAACAGCACAATATGTATCCTCAAATTCTTACTTGATTAGAATAAGTGTTTAGTATAAACATCAGACACATCCAAGGTCCTTTTTGGTGTGCAGTGAAATTGCACATTATGGCAAACTGTATGGAACCACGAATGTTTTTTACATTGTTACTGTACAGTGTTCTGTACAGTGTACGTACTGTGTACTGTACAGTGTACTTAGACCGAATAATTCTGTCCCAGATAACGTTTTATATTTTGGATGAGTTATACTGGTTATACCATGCCATGGTATAGAGATAGTAAACGCATGCAGTATAACGCATCCGAAATATAAAACGTTATCTGGGACAGAATTATTTGGTCTACAGTGTACTATACTATAGTATACATTACTGACACTCTGTACGTACTGACGACATGCACTGTGTACTGCATGTACAGTGAGTTAGTGTACTCAGTACTGTACAGAATATATATCATGTCCATAATGTAGCAATTTCATACTATTACTTCTATATATTCTAAATAGTATATATCTGATATCACTCTTACCTCTTACAGACTACGATTACGATTCTACGAATATAGCGCGCGTACAGTTGCCGCAAGCCTGCACTACAGTACAGTGTACGCGGGCTATACTTATAGTTATATACTATAGCATGCTATAGCCTATACTAGCTAAGTCCAGGCCCGTAGCCAGCTTTATATTGGGGGGGGGGGGGGGTTCGTTTTTCAATGTTGGCAAT